GTCTAAATCATTTGCTTTCATAAACAGAGCTATTAGTGATAATGTGTACAGTGTTAAAGAGGTAACTGCATTTTTTTCTATTGAAGAAAATAAATATAAAAAAATTTTCAAAAAATTGTTTCCCATGAAGGCACACCTTCATATTTCAACCACTATAATATGAAACAATAAGATCAGAACCCTCTGTACTATTAATTTGCAAAGGATTCTAGCATTATAATATGAGTATAAGGCAAAAATAATTTGTGCCTTAGAAACATCTTAGAATAAAATTAAAGTGACAGATCAAAGTAAAAAGGTGAGAAATTTCTGAGAAACTTCTCAGAATTCTTAAGTTAATGAAACTTAAAACTTTATAATTATTCTTACTTATAATTCTTCCTGAGCAAATACAAAGAAATGAATTTTCAATTTAAGTTTATAGTTAAAATACAGCGATGTTTTGGGCTGGTGGAATGGCTTAAGTAGTAGAGTGCCTGCCTAGCAAGCATGAGGCCCTGAGTTCAAACCCTAGCAGTGCAAAAAAAAACAAAACAAAAAAAACCCAAAACATTAATTTTTAAAAATATAGACCAATACTGTAAGTGGTTTCATAAACTGAAATGGTGAGTTCAAATATACTAATTGTCCTTCAAAAGAATGAGGTTAAGGAAGATAAAACAGGTCAAGTTTGCTTCTGAAGAATGAGGCAACTGTAAATTCTCTCAAGTAGAGACAAAGAGCAACTAAGGAGGTGTTACTGTGCACAGTACTGAGGGCGAAGTTGCGATTCTTCTCCTCCAAGTGGGTCAAGACAAGGGACATTTGAGGGGACTCTACCAGTCCTTTCTGCATCTTAGCTCGTTGAACATTGAGCTTTCTTAGTAATAAGCATAACCTTTTATATTTATTAATAGGAAAAGATGTACCAGTAACTAATTCTTGAAAAAACTCCTATAATTAGAAATTTTTAATTCTAAAAAGTTCACTGTATAAAAGCAAATGTTGGAGCAGTACCATCTTGTAACAGACATGATGTTTACATTTTATAGGTAGATTTAAAAACCCAGATTCTTTCCTCTAACAATGACCTTCAGTAGGGATGACATCATCCAGGGGACATTTTTAAACCTCTCATTTCTCTTCCCTTTAGTGTGGCCCTGTTGGGGCATGTGGCACCTTCTAGTGCCCAGATATTCTAGGAGAAAAGCAACAAAATTTTATACCAAAGGACAAATATCAGTATCTTCTTGGCTGTTCTTGGCCTACTTGGATGTTATTTTCACCTTAGGTAGGAGTTAAAACCCTCCTCCTAAAAGGAATAATGCTTAAAATAAAATTTAAAAACTGCATTACTAGTTTTGGAGGAATAAAAGAAAGAAGAACAGGGTTTAAAAGTATAATTGTAATTATGCTGTAACATTTTCACTTATTTTGTAATGTATTAAAAATATTCTTGTTTTCAGGGGAAGCTCTACAAATCCTTCAAATTTTGAATGCTTTAAATGTAACACTATTGTAACTATGTAAATGGCATTTTTATCATTAATTCAAATACATTCAGAAACATCTTGCATGACCACAATAATACTCTGAACTTCTGAGAATCATATTTTCTAAAAAATCCACACACAGATGTAACATTATATGGTTTTGAATCTGTGCTCAGTGGAGCCCCAGAGCTGTGCAAAGCCCCTCATGGACCACCATGAGGGCAAGGTGGAGGTGGAGGGGAGAGCCAATTATGAGTTTCTCTCCCACCTCTTTGTTCTTGACCAGAGCAGCTCTGCCTTTATCAATTATGTATATTATGACTTAGGCAATGTTTTGTTTGGAAAATGGGTTCTGCTCTAAAAAAAATTGAAACCACTCTCATGGTTTAAAAATTCACTGTCTTACATGCTAAATCCAATATTATGGTCTACATAAAAACAGACTCCAAACACATAAAATAGATTGCACAATCAACATGTCTCAGTCCAAGTAGGTAAGGAAGAAGCCAAATTGGATGAACTCTAAGGTGGTGACAGCTAAATTTAAAGCCAGGGTGACACACTAGCAGAACTGGTGGTCTGACATGTTGAAACTTGCTTCACTAGGGTGGTTTTAATGGCAGAACCACAGCTTCTATTGAACACCATCCATAGCTGATTTTAACAGAGTAGAAGCTCAGACCAACGATGAAGTGATATGGCTCTGGCTTTAGAGATTTTAAAAACCCTCCAGTCCTCGAAGGATCAGGGCTGGCAGAGCCACTTTTCAGAAAAGTAGCTCAGTCACAGAGACCCCTATGTCATTTTGTCCATTCTTTCCTGTTAAAAAGAAAAAAAAAAACCCGTCTTATACTCCCCTCTAACTGGTAAAATAGTCTTTTGAGGGCCATTTCGAATTATCACCTCTCTGGAAGCCAAGTCTGGACCAGTCTGTGGCCCCTCTCTGGGTTCCCTCAGGTCTCCTACCAGGCAGCTTGTTCAGGTTCTGGTGCCCAGAGGGCTGTGGCCCACTCTTTCCTATTCGCTTGCGAAGCCCTGGTATCCAGTACGTTTTAATCATTTAGTGAAAGATAAATAACCAATACATGATAAGCCAGATTTAGGACTAGGAAAGGATCTAGTCCTGGTCTGAACTGGTTCTTATATTGAACAGACTGAGGGACCCAGTCTCTTTATCTTTGTGGGTCTCAGATTTCTCAACAAGTTAGAGCCCTTGGCTTACCACAAAGTGAAGATGAGTTGGGTCTAAATTCTCCTTTTCATTTATTTTAGTTGAGGCAGTCATAGGGAGGTTTCTGTATGTGCATATTTAAAATAAATAAAAAAAATATATACTTTTAATGGACTTCTTCAGGTAACTTAAATTTGAATGTAACTCATGATTGCCATCTGCTGGAGAATGGTTGAACATCTATTTCAGTTAAAAGCCAGAAGTCATAAAGTTTTTAATCACAAGTATTAAAAAAAAAAACGGTTAAACTTATAAAGCATAATGTATGAGCTCCAGGAATAAAAATTTTAGGCATATTAAGCATTCAGCTGCAGAATTTCCTACACTGCTTCAAGTGGAAATGATATACTTAGAATCCGTTATCAAATGTATTGTTAGTCTCATCTACTATATATTAATTCTAAACCATTAGAATGGAGGAAAAGGCTATATTATATTCCACTGTATAGAAAGGCAACAGAAAGAAGAGAAGCATTTCCAAACAAGGTGACTTTTTTTTAATTCTTAAGAGTAAGAAAAGCAAAAGTTTAAAAATTAATGCTGTTCTAATTCTTTAAGACATGTGACTTTGGTTAGAGAGATTAAGAGATTGTAGTCATGGCCTTTGTTGTTTCATTTCATCACATATTTCAAAGAAATAATTATTTATAAAGATGTTAGGGAGTGGCAATAAGAAAGAGATTCAGTAAGTCAGTTGATAACAAGCAACTGTCAAAACTAAATATCCTCGTTGTACAGATAAGGAACCCAAGGCTGGTAAGTGTGAAAGTGGCAGTACACTGTAATTGGTACTGTACCAATAAGAAGAAATCTTGTTTTCTGATAACTTTTTTTTTTTTCTGAGGCACTGGGGTTGGAACCCAGGACTTTACACTTGCTAGGCAGGGTGCTTTACCATTTGAGCCATTCTGCCAGCATTTGCCTTCTTAATAAAGAATAGCAACCACATTAAAATGTTAATACTTACGCAACAAGACGAGAATGAACAGTGTTAAGATACTTTGCTTTTTATTCCACTGGTCCCACGAGTAAAGACTATGAATATGTATACCTCTAGAATTGGTATGGGCAGGGAGATGGTACTGCACGTGTTATCATACACCTTAGAAATAATCATATTAAAACGATAGAGGGGTGATATCTAGCTATATAACTGTATACCTCTATACCATATATATGACCATATCTATATGCATCTAGGTATCTCCACCTTATAAAACACATAAAATATAAGGGATACATAATATACAATATAATGTGAGAGACAAACCTTCCCTTCCCTAAAGTGATCACAATGTTTGGAGGAGACAGAGATACAGTACCTCAAGTTACAGGTGGTAAATGTACATGACAGAGAAATCACCTGCAGCTAGAACATGTATTTCCTAATGTTATATGAAGGGGAAGGCACATGGGGAGTTGGTGGGGAAACGGTCCAAGGAGGTGTCTATAGTGCTGGCTGCCTTTCAATGTAGGAAGCCCCTAGTTTGATAGAGGGGAAGAAGGAACAAATCCTTCACCTATCTTGAGGTTAGACTGGATGAACTAGAGTTTACAGGCTAGGCTGATTTCATGCTGCGCAGCACAAGGGTAAGTGAAGGAATCTGACAGCTGGAGAGTTACTTAATGGGAAATGAAAGGTTAGAGTGCAGGTGGTTGAATGCTTCAGAGCATAAATACTGGAGGAAGGGGGAGAAATCGGGCTTACTGTCTTACGGGCTGTGTAATTGTGATCAAATAACTTAACCTTTTTCTGTTGCCTTGATTTTTTCATCTGTAAATAGGGATAATGAACACTTCAAAGGGATTAAACAGATTAATAGTTAAAGTACTACAAATAGTACCTAACATATAAGTAATACACAAAATGTATGCTATTGTTAATTAAGGAAGCTATTGGTACAAAACCAATTATAGTGTATCTACCATTTTTGGGCTGAACAGTGTTGGTATCTTTATCTGAAACTGAGGATATTTATAGTTCTGACAAAGATGATAGAGAGATAGGGGCATATCAGGGTAGCCCAATGGAAGACATTGGTAGGCAGATGGCTAAACTGACTAAATTGTGATCCAAACTGGAAAGAGTGAAGATCTCCACACAGTAACAACTAACCCCAGGGACTTTTTAGCAAAATCTTAACCCACAATAAGATATATTAATGCTTAGATGAGGAGAAGAGAACCAATAGCAAATGTGTCAAGATATTTTGCTTTTTATTCTACTGGTCCCTTGACTAAAGACTGAAACTCCTGGAAATCCAACTTTTTGTACAAAGCAGTGGTCACCTACATACCTTTTCAATGAGCTCGTAGCTCTCCTCTAGCTTGAGAAGCCTGTTCTGTACAGACGTGGATGCTCTCTGGTACACGGCCCGCCACTCCTGGAAGTCACTCTCTGAAATCTCAGCCACAGCAAAACACAAGGTTCTTAGTCCTAAAAAAGACAGCATATATCAAGAAAGATTTTATTCACAAGTCTTATGTTTCCATTATTTAACAAAGTCTTCATGTTTGAAGTCTAATTTAATTATGACAAAAACTTAGTCGACAATATCTATTAATGTTCTTCTAGCTTTTAAAATTGGCACCCTGCTTTTAATTCCCAGCTCTTTTAGTCCATCCTCCACACTTGGAGTGACTTTTCTAAAATCTTAGTCCTATCAAGCTTCATCTTTGCTTGAAATCTTCAAATTGTTTCCCAGGATGAAATACAAACCCCGAGTATTGCTCACTCATGTTTCATCAAGTGCCTTCAACCTCATCCTCTGTTATTCACTTCTTACATACTGGAGTCTTTGCACATGTTGGTCACCTTTTATCCATTCTACCTTCCTGACAACCCTCCACTGTTTGCCTTGCATCTACTTTAAGACTCAGCTATTAGCTGGGAGTGGTGGTATATATCTGTAATCTCAGCATTTAGGAAGCTGAAGCAGGAGGATCATGAGTTCTAGGACAGCCTGAGCTATATGGTGAAGTCCTATCTCAAAAAGAAAAAATCTCTAAGTTCTTAAAGTCATTGTTTTAATGAATCCTCCTTTCACTCAGACTGCACAGGCAAAAATCCCTAAACACTTCTATGGTGTGAATGGCAATGTTTCATCGTTTTTCTTGCTGGCATTCTCTATTAGACTGAAGCTTCTAGACAGTTGGAGACCTGTGACTCCAGTACCAGGGGCTGAGACAGAATGGTGGCTTCCTAGATGCTATGAGGAGGAAAGAGAGACTCTAGCAGGGTCTACTGGAAGAACTGCTTTCTTACTGGGATACATGACTTTATTTTTAGTGTTCTTTACTACTGTAAATTTATAGTAATGAGAGTATAGTGAGGGGCAGTGGCAGAAATGAAGTCATGACACGTGCCCTGGGAAAACAATCAAGACTGAAGCTTAGGTGACCCACTCCCAGGACTCACTTCCTCCTCAGTCAGAAAAAGAGTACCTGGGTTAGAAGAAGGGACAGGCAGGGCATTTGTGAGCCACACAAGGAAATAGCTGTCTAGGTTCCCAAGAAGAAAAAAGCCTCACTCATGGATATTTAACTCATAGAATGACTATGACGAGAATCCAGGCCTTGTGAGCTGAAATCAAATAAAATGTGTTCAAGTGAATGTGACAGAAGCAAGAAGCAAAGGACACAGGACATGAAGTGCACAGAGGACTCTACCTTATGGTAAAAAGGGTAGGGTTACTGATTGCTGAGTCCCTGAGAATGGAATGAGATCAGTGGGGCCATATTAGGACATGTTTTTTACTCTTTTGGAAATGTGGCTCAAAAACCTATTTGAGGAAAGCCACAGAATAGAAATGTCATTCAGCTCAGAGTCAGAAAGAGAGGGGTAGAGGTGGGGCCAGCCAATTCAAATCTGTCTAAGAGCTAGTGTCTGTATCATAACCAGAGAGCAGATGGATGCCCACTAAGCCTCTGCTCATCACAAAAACAAAACTTACGTTGTATGTTACGTAGTTTGACCTGGCCAAGCATAGCTGAGGACCCGAACTCTATAGATATGAATATCTCCAAGTTCTTAATTTGGAGTTCTCTGTATCCTTATTTTTCAAAGCCTTTTTTTTGCCTAGTGTTTTTAAAAGCATTCCTATCTTTTCTCAGCTGGGATTAGGAGGGAATAAGATTTGATTGGGGTGAAGGGTGAGGTTTGTTGCAGTTGGCAACTATTCTAGCTGAAACGGAAGTGAAAACCCAGATAGAAGACTTAGATACAGCTATCATCTCTGCTATCAAGTTAGAGATCAGACGTGACATATACATTCCTGCAGTAACAGACCCCAATGTTTAACAACCCTCACTTGCTCTCCTCTCTCTCATTTAGATCATCTTTGTACACCATATACTGTTTGCTTCGTACATCATGTATTTCAGGAGGACAGAGAAACAGGGCTAAACTCATTCACCCTGAGTTGTCAGGCCAAGCACAGACCCTGCCATATGATGGGGGTTAATATAATAAAAAGTCTTACATTGTTACTAAATTGAATAGCTATTTCATTAGTCATATAAGTTTATTTATTTTTCTTATTCAGATTAGAATATTTTTCTTTGACCTTTAATTCTTTTCCTAACAAACTGCCCGATTTACAAGATAAAAGTATTTTAACCATAAATTTTATTCATTCTAAAAATGTAAAACATATTTTTAGGCCCTGCCACCTAAAAAATGGGGATAAAGTCTCTCAACATTTTAATAAATACCTTTCTAGGAAAGTCAAAATACTGTGGGAATAGCACATAGCAAAATACAGGTTATCAACAATAATTGCTGGATACTTTACTTTGGGAATCTTTAAGTAAAATAATAAATGAGCCTTTAAAATGTCACAAGTATATGATTTCTTTATATCTCAGTCATGCTTTATTTTCATGCATTCTCACCTTCTGTAGCAAACTGCTCTAAATGCTTTAGGGTAATTTCTTTGTATTTTGAAGTCTCTGCAAGTCGTTCATAAATTACAGTGTCCTAGAAAACAATCACAAGGTATAATGTACTCAATTACGCATTCTGAGTTTAATTAAGTTGATGTTGGCAACATTATCAGTAGCAAATCTGTATAAAAACAATCCATCACTTTCCGCATTCTTTTAAAAGCATAGAGTATTTGTCATTTTTTTTATTGTTGACACATAACACCGACTCTCTACAGATGCAAAGAACTACAGTGGGACCTGTGTATGTATTGGGTTTTGCAGCCATGGATTCCATTAATCATGGATAGAAAATGTAGTTGGGTCTACAATGGATGTGCACAACTTCTTTTCTTATTTCTCTCAAGGTTCATGCCATAAACAATGCAACTATTTACATAGCATTTACATTGTTTTAGTTATAAGTAACCTAGAGATGATTTGGTATGGGGGGATGTGTATAGTTATGTGAGATACTATGCCATTTTATATGAGGGCCTTGATCATCCATGGATTTGGTACTGTGGGGCTCTGGAAGCAATCCTCTGTGGATGCCCAGGAAGGGTCTAGCCTTGTATCTTCCCCTTCTTTTGGAATAAATTTCTAGTTACCCTACTGTTCAAAATTTCATATTCTATCAATACCTCACTTGCTTCTCACATACTTCAAGAGTATACTCCCTGATCCTTGAAGGTTTTGCGGAATACTGTGAAGTGGTTCATAGGTGCTACAAGGAAGAATGGTGAAGAACTAAGAAAGTTTAGGAAATGCTGGACTGGAATGAAGGTACAGAGCCTGTCCTATGATACTTCTAGAGGTCTTTAAAATGTTGGTGTGCAAAGTGGAGCGCTCAGGAGGCTACATGGTACTCATTTGACCACAGACTCTTTCAGAGGCTGGAGCACCTTTGTGTTCACAGAGGAATAAATTTAATACCACAGGACTATTAAATTCATTGGGGGCTAGTGGATGTACCGGGGAGAATCTTGGACAAACTGTGAAGTACCTTAAGTAGCTGAATATTTCTGGTATACCACTTTAGTTTTAAGACTCAGTTTATTTAATCTGTAAAATAAAATAACTGGATTATTTTTAAAGTCCCTTTCAGCTTTAGCTTGATACACCATTTATGCTTCTCTAGTTTTTGCTTCTTATATATTGCCTATTGTTCCCTTAGTTATTCACTGGCTTGGTTTAATATTTTTAAGAATTTTAGTATCCAGACTTCACGGTTTTATTAGACCAGGAAAAAATAAATCATTTACCTGCAATTACTTTCTCAGTGATATTACCCATTTTGGAGTCTCTAGACTCAGGCTTGAGACTTGGAAGCAGACTAACGGAGTATGATTTAGAACCCTTGAGAGAAACAGAACTTAGTGACCTCAGAACAGATGGAGTATTTCAGGCCCCAATTATGAATTTCTTTTCATTTTTCAGTGGCAGAATGAAAAAGGGGGGCAAAGCAAAAGGAAATGATAATTTCCCCACATGGCTCCTTCCTAGGAAGGAAAGGTATATAACTTATGAGCTCTTTTTTCTAAAAGCTAGTGAAATACTCAGTGAAATTAATTAGACCATTTTCAAACTATGAAAATCTTTTTAAAATTAAAAACATAAAAACAGAGGTAATAAATCATAGGTTAGGAAGAGTAGCGTCTACCATTGTGTATCCCAATACCCTAGTGCAGAAACATGTTTAGAATAGACAAAGTCAATTTTCTACCTTTATCTTAGTACTGCTTTTCAATACTAATCTAGATACTAATTAGAACAACACTAATCTAATAAAGGATAGAATGTGGTCTTCTGCCTGAAAGGTTTTACATGTTTTTAATCACAACTGGTTGGCCATGCTTACATGTAAGAACCAAATACCTACAGGTGTTTTATCAGCATTAATACCTCCTTATGTAGAGGGCTACGTCAAGTATTGAGTAATTAGGAGCTAAAGAATATTCCTTCACAGACACTACAACCTGTTCATGCCACTACAGGATGAGACTCAGAACCTACTGAATCTGTGGTTATGGAAAATCCTCACTGTGTTCAGTTATCTTGTGTCCTGGCCCACAGCAAGGTAAAAGTGGAAAATCACAGTGATCAGTGCTACAGGGGAAATCACAGGACAGCTGAATTACAGTCTGTGTGTAGGAGTCTAGGGCTTTGAGGAAAGTTAAACTCATGATTAATAGTTCTTCAGTGAATTTTCATTAAAAAATTGTGTTCTTATTGTCTTATAGACTGAAGTTCAAACACTGCTTGTCCTGAGTGCTTTACACACAGTAGGTATTGAAAAACATAATAAAATTTTGATGCAATCCTCGATTGTCTTGAAATGTCACTTGTTTAGAGTACTACAATATTGTCCAAAAAAGACTGTACCATAAGATGCAAGCATAACCAATAACAAGGTAGTAGTCCAACACAAAGAACTCTTACATAAGTACTTATGTGCTGCAATTTATGCTGAAATTACCTAGATAATCTCACTGTTATGAAAATAATTATGCAAAACAGAATCACTTCTGTCACGTTACACTAAAATTGGAGTGGTGGGACCATTGGGAAAAAACACATAGGTCCACAGATGCCTTTTTCAGGAACTGTCAAAATTGACTCCACAAAACAGACTGCCATAACTTTAAGACTAATTTTACTTAGCAACTGTCAAAAGAACAGAGCCTATAAGTCTAGCTTTACATGGTAACTGCTATCACTTCCAACCAGAGCTTGCTAGCTTCTGCAATTGCTGTGAGTGCTAAGTTAATTTCTCTGTCCTAATAAAACCCCAACCTTTCTTTTGTTCCTTGGGCATACCAGAGGCCACCCTGGCCTGTAAATATATGTCTTGAATTGCAATTCCATGTTTGTGCTCTAGTTCAAAATAAAAATTCTTTTCTTTGGAAGATTGTCTCTACAGCTTTGTTTGACACTATAAATTAGCCAACTGCCATCAAGGAATATGATCTTGACGTCAGATTGAACAAGGAGAGACTGACCTGCTGCTGGGAATTTGGGATTTGGCCTGGAATGTTGGCCAAAGACATGAGACATACATTTAAACAAACACAAATATTTTCTGTCATGTGTATTATTCAGAATTATCTATACTTTGCCTTGGATATGAAAGTGAATTGCTATAAGTGAACAAGTTCACATGTGGTTTTTAAATTTTTTTTTGTATTTGGTATAGAATTTTATTGAAGAAACATCTAATTAAAATTTTTCTGTCACTTCAAGGTTCCTATAGCATTGAATGTATTCATCAAGTTTCTAATTTTTCCTGTAGTATGCACACTTTATAGCAGAATTCTAATTTTATTGAATAAATTAAAGTTTTGCATGAATGCAGCTTTTCCTAAGATGGCTACTACTATAGATATAAATTGTATAGTGTATACTTTTTTCATTTAAAAATTAACAAAGCAAAATATCCTCATTACAAAAAAATCTAGAAAAAGTTGGAAAAATAAGTCATCCACAAACATTGTGGCCACTCTTATTATGCTATATTTTAGATGGAATTTTCAGTACTGTCTTCCAATTCACTAACTCTACTTCTATCCCTTCAACTGTGTCTAGAGTTTACTCTGTTTATTGATTTAAAAAATTACTTATGATTTCCAATTTATCTTCCAAGTATCCCCAACCCTCCCACTTTATTTTTGATTAAAAGTATTTAGAATTTCATTATTTACCATGTTAAGCTCTAAATATCCATTGTCAATCTGGTCTATACAAATGATTCAGTGCAGAGTGACCCGAACCCCTGTTCCCACTGTTTGTGCTACCCAATATTTCCTTTAGCATGGTATTTCCTCATGTGCCTGTGAGCTTTGCTCCTCTTTGCCCCTCTTTGCTTGCATGCCAACTTAGCAGTTTCATTTACCTCTTACCAAGGCTGTCATGAGTCTTCTTCAGTCTCTAGTTATGATTAGGAAAGCCTGCTACTGTCCTTGGCTTCACAGCAAGGAAGCTGGCTCCCTTCTGATTTTATTGCCAGTACTACTTGTCCCCATAGTCCCACAGAAGTCAAACTTCAACCACTGTTCCTTGATTCTGAACCCAGAGCCTGGGACTCTTACCCACCCAGCTCAAGACTTTGGTTCAATGAGACACTCTGATTTTCTATTTTGGTCTACAAAGATATGTATCTTGTTTTTGAGCCTAGTTTTGTCTTTCTATTTTCTCTCTTTATACTATTTCCATCATTGCAGTGACTCTGTAATAGAGGAGATATACTGATATATGAACACACTATTTTGACTAGGCTGTATTATTAAGTCTTCTCACCTAGTTTTATTTTGTACTTACTACCCGTTGATTATTCACTCTAACTAGGAATCAACAGGTTTTGTAGATTCGCCTTCAAAATTTAATCTGCTTTCCTGGTTTTTCTACTTTCCTCTCATTTCAGGTCACTCCCCAGATACAGTTTTACCACTGTATCTGGACCTCAGATTTATTCCCCCGTTAAATCCAGGAATCTCTGCCTTATGTCCCAACAGTGGCTCCCAATTCTTTATCTTGGTAAATGGTATCACATAGTCCCCTCAGTAAGCCAAGTAGAAATTCCATAATGATTCTAGATAATCCTTTCTCTCAGCACCCATACGCAATCAATTACTAAGTCTTAAATCTTCCTTCCTAGTCTTCTCTGAAACTATCTGACAGCTACCAATGGCCCACCTGACAGCTCTGCATGCATCTGTTTTCAGCTTTGAATCATCTTCCCAAATGGTATCAAGAGTGATCAAGAAAAAGTGTAAGTTCTTGAGCATGGTGGTGGTAGGGGGAGACCTAAGTCATACTCATGCCTCATATCCAGCTATTCTGGTCAAACTACAAACTGCAAGTAGTTCTCAAACATTCCTCGCAATTTCACATGTTTATGCCCCTTTATTGCTTAATCACATTTCAATATAGGAGGGAAGGAACATAATGCTATAAGCATGATAATATATGTAAACTATCTCTATGGTTATTAAAAGGGAAGTCCACGGTCTTTTACTTCTTATTCAATGCTTTAGCTCCCCAAACAAAAATTTTTAGACAGAAAGCTGTCAAAACTAAAAAAGGAAGGATGTGATTTGGTTATAAACCAGAAAGATATCAATTATTTAAGGTGGGAGGTCTGAAAGACTCTCTTCATTCCCTTTATTACTGTGTATGTTATCATCAGAATGTGGAAGACCTTTACAGTGCCTTAATATTGTAGCTTAATCTCTTTATATGTATCTCCCAGGTGAATCTTATGCTCCTGACATGTTTCAGGTCTTATCTTCATATCTACAAAATCCTTGCTCACCATAAAGAATATCCACTTCTAAAAGGAAAATACTTGAAGGTACATTTAAAAGTTCTTTCAAAATCTGGTGATAAAATATTCACAATGAATAAATGTTAGGTATTTGAATCACTATGAATACAAAACCAAAGGAATTCTAAAACTAAATTCATGAGACATCATGAAATAGTTCTACCAAAATCCTCTAAAACCAACCCATTCAAAAATTGCATTTCAGTGCTTTAAAAACCAAGGTGTTTAACACTATTAATAGGGACTTAAACAAAAAACTTGGCCTTCCTAAATTCACTTTCCTAGTTTCCACTACGTAAAGCAAAGTTGTTGACTGTTTAAAATTGTAAAGTTCCATGTTGGAAATTTACAAACTAAGTACCTGAAGGAAAATACTGACTGACCTTTATAACAAAAAAGGGGCCTGGTCACTCATTTTTCCAGGAGTGAGAAGCTATTTTAAATAGAAAAATTCAGAGTATACCTTACTATTTCTGTCAATATAACCTGCCAATATGCCAAAGCCAACCAATAATCAGAAATTCTGTTATAATTAAAACAATGCAAGATGAACAGTAATTACCTCATGAGGAAATTATAGCAATAATTGTGATCCATTTTCCCCTCTCCATTTCTATGGTCTTCAAACAATTAGGTTAAGACTGGAGTGTATCATTATATTATAATGTAACTTTAAAATATTTTCTGTATCTGCTAACATAGTTTATACAATAAAAAACTCAAAAATACTATGTATCAAAAACTGAGTTATAAAAATAACCTAGGCCAAACTTTTTCAATGCACCAAATATACCCAGAAGGAATTCCACATTTCACCAGAAGAGATTGAATACTATTAGTATAAAACGCCAACAAAAGTGGATGTCAGCAGCTTCATGTTAAGCATCTGTGTTACATTTTCAGAGCAGAATGCCTAACACGTACATTATAAACCACCGTAAATCAAAACTATAAAAGACAAAAATAAAAACTTACAGCTCCTTTGCAGTAGAGTCGTAACTTCCCGGATGGAGTACGAACAATCACTGACATTCTTTTTCGAGCACTGAAAGAAATTGGTATTCCAGTGTCATCTACTGAGAATATGCAAATATATGTTTGTCATGCCTCACATATTTTAATACTCACAATGAAAAAATAAAATTTCCCTGTTTTTCCACTTATACAAACTATCCCTGGAGTATACAGTTGGGTACCTTTGAAAGTTACATTATGTTTTTTAAGTCACCAGGGTATCATCTACTGCCCCAGAGGAAAATTGATGAAATGATTCTTGCAAGAGTTACTACCCACCAGAGTAGAGTCCTGGTTTAATGTTTTCAGGCTTTAAAAAATATTTAAGCTGATATCTTAAAAGATGACTTGTATCTTACAACTCTCATTAAAAACAGAAATGATAGTTTTAAGTACATAATCACATATAAAGGCAAAAACTGGTACTTCAAGAAACAACTTAAGCATTCATCATTGTTTCTCAATGATTACAGAAGCCCCCCCTTATCTGAGGGGGATATCTTAGGGGGATACACCCTTTATCCCTGTGGATGCCTGAAACTGTAGATAGTACTGACCCATATATACACGTACCTAAGTATGTACATGCATGTTTGTATATGTATAATGTAATGTTTTTCCTATACCTAGGACAAGGTTTAGTTTACAAATCAGATATACTAAGCCATTAACAATATGGTTTCTGATAATATAAATACTATCAGAAGTTATTTAAAACTTATGAATTATTTGTTTCTGGAATCTTTCATTTAATATTTTTGGAGCACAGTTGACCAGGGATACTGAAACTGTGGAAAGGGAAAAATCAGATAAGGTAGACTACTGTGCTTTAGGAATACATTAGCTTGGGCCTTTTTCATAATGGCACACATTCTAACTCAGCCCTTTTGGTTCATGCCTTTCTTGATCTAAATTTTGATTTATTGGGCCCAAACTTAGCAATGTCCTTGCTTTTCTCTTCTCCCAGAAAAATCCCTAAAGGTGAATGGGAATCTCTTCTGTGGTATATCACAGTCAGCAGACATTGTGGAGAAAAGTTACCTAGTTATGGGAAGAAGTAAATATGTGATATCCAACACCAGTGAGCTCTTCCATACTGTACATTAATCCAAGCATTTCTCTAAAAAGCTTAAACTCTGACCCTCTGAAAGACCACAGCACACTTTCTACACTCTCCCAAGTCTTCTATGCTTCCTCCTTACTAGACACTCTAAATTTCATATCTAAGCCTTAGATATGAAATCCCTTTTAGTTCTGCCATTAAAACCTACATAGCTACCTATTTGTGTACCATCTCCTCCATTTTTTTTCCTGTCATAGTAGAGGAAATACTTCTCTTATCAGAAGCCTTCCTTCGATATGTCTGTAAACCTCCCATCCCACTTTCTCAATAACCTCATTCTAAAACTCACTCTGATGTCCTATGAATCTGTCCCTTCCTCAATAATGAATCCTGCTTATCTGAAAAAAAAAAAACCCAAAAAACAACAACAAAAAAATCCCATGCTTTAGCTGTCCCCTATAAAACTCACCCCAACTAGCCACTTTTCCAACAAGTCATATCCCTTTCAACTCATCCCTTCTTTTCTTCATAGCTCACCTGTAAACCATCACTATGTTTACTGGCTTTCCCATCCTGCTTTCCTCTTTACCATGTCAATGAATGACTACATTCAATGAATATTGTTCAACTTTCCTACTCCCAACCTTATGGCAGTCTCTGACATAGATGACTACTTTCTTCTTGAAACCTCTTCTCTTGATTCTATGCTATTTATTATCCTCTATGTCTTTAACAACAACATTCTCTTTTGTTGATTCCTTTTTTATCCCCTCCAGTGGTACTGGGGTTTGAACTCAGGGCCTCATGCTTGCTATACAGGTGTTCTACCACTTGAGTCACTCTACCAGTCCTGATACCTCTTTTTCTAGTCAGCCTATAATAGTTAGAATTACTCATGGCTTAGTCATCAGCCTTTCATTTTCATCATATTTTATCTCCAGATCTCATTCACTTTCATAGCCTTAAATATCACTTCTAGACCAATGACTACCAAGTGGATATTTCAGCTGTAGCCTTCTCTTTCATGTTTCAGGCTCTTGCATCCAACAGCCTGCTGGATACCTCAATTTGTCTCACAGGCATCTAAGACACAGTAATTCTAAACATCTCTTCTGTCACACCTATTCTTCATCCCATTTTACCACCTGTGTACCAGTTGTTCACACAGGAGACCCTAACCTCTTCTCTTTGCCCTCCATCACCAATTCGTAGTAAAGTCCCACTGACCTCTGTCTAAAGGGCAGAGGAAGTCTATCAACTTCCCTTGAATTTCATTACCATCATCCTGGTGTAACCCACTCACAGCTTTCAGAGGCTACATTAACAGCATATTTACTTTTCTCTCTTTCATGCTTTTGCCTACCATCACTTATAGAACTCTGAAAGAACTGAAACTCCTAACCTTGCTTTAGTTTTCTTCATATCACTTAGAACAGTGCTTTCAAAAGCCATATTTAAATGCCAATTAATATACACTTATAATAAATGACCTATATAAAACAAGTAGGGTTAGGAAAAATAGTTATTTTGAAATGAAAAGAAAGAGATGAGGAATATACATGAGAAACTTTATTCTAGTTAATTATCCAAGTTTTTCTTATCCATTTTCTTTTTAGCCTTTCTGAACATACAAGTAAAAAAAATAATGTTTAGTAAGTTTGATAGATCCCATTATCTTTGTTATTATTCACTGGTATATGGTCACTTCCCATCAATCAAATTTGCCATAGAAATGTCTAAGACTGTGTAAAAGTTTGCCTTAGGTAAGAGAAAGTCCAAGAAAACAAGTGAATGTTTATTTCTTTGAACAACAGTATAACTTCCACGTAGACTTGATTTTTTTAAAGTGTCCTGTGAGCAGTAACACAATCTTTAAAGACCTTGCAGCTAAGGTCTACCTTCCCCAAGAATGTAGGTTGGATGAGAAACTATCATTTAAGGCCTGAATAGAGGCCTTGTAACTAAATGCCTGTATTATTTCATTTGACCTTCATTTTATTTTTTGTTCTTTCCTACTAGATGGAAACTTGTCTTATACCTAACAGAAATATAGATATGGTTGCTATTATCTCAAGAGAGCTAGATACAATGAGCACACACTTAGTATAGTATGGTATTTTCCTAACTCTGACTCTCCTTGACTCCACATAAATCTTAGCACCTCTCAATATTAGTATGTTTCCAAATCACTAGCTGTTATAGTCTGGAACTTAAATGTCCCCTGAAGACTCATGTGCTGGAAGCTTGGTCCCAGGGAAGTGTCATTTGCAGGTGGTGGAAGCTTTAAGAGGTAGGTACTAGTGGGAAGGTCTTAGGTCATTGAAGGTATGCTATGGAGAGGTTGTGGAATCCTAGGCCCCTTCCTCATTCTCTCTTTTGCTCCCTGACCATGAGGTGAGCAGTTTTGCTCTGCTAGGTGCTCTTGCCAAGATGTACTGTTACCACAAGTCCAAGCAACTGGGTAATTGCTCACACTCTGGAACCTCCTCTCTCTTTGTAAGATGATTCTCTCAGGCATTTGTTATGTTATTAGAAAGTTGACTAACATACTAGCTATCAGACTAAATCCTAGATTTCTGAGTCAGATACCTATACTTCAAAGTGATTTCTGAACTGCCAGTAGGAGTCTTACATTACAACACTCTGAAGAAAGCTGTTTATATTTTATCCATGGATATGACTATTAAAAGTATACAGAAATTTTTAATATTTTGTCTAAACAAAGTTATGGAAATTTACCTTATTCACACAAATTATAGAGCAGATGTTTTACCTGGTGAACTCCAGGACATTAAGTAATTCATATCTTTCTTCCTGCCCCAGCTATGAGGGAAAGAAACATATGATTATGTAGAGTTAGGAACATCGTAATCTTCTTGAAAATTATCACTGATCCAATTTTACAAATTGTATTGTAAAAATATCAACACAAACAAAATTTTTCTTCTTTTTATATAGTTTGTATTAAATGAAATACAGAGATCTCCAATGTGCAGCTCAATGAAAATTGTGTAGTTTGACAAAGGTACAGTCTTTGTGATCACTACCCTGATAGAAACACAGAATGTTCCCACCTACCATAAATTTCTGTGTACCCCCTTTCTGGTCAATCTCTGGACTAAATTCTAGCATCATAAATCACTCTGCCTGGTCTTGAGCTGCAGATAAATGAAACTGGAAAGGATGCCCTCCTTTGTATCTGGCATTTTTTTTCTTTGTTCAACAATGTTTTTGAGATTCATCTATACTGTTGATAAATCAGTAACTCACTCCCTTTTCAATGTTTAGATATTCCCATTGTAGGAATACAACACAATTTGTTTACCGTTTTACTAATAAGCATTTGGTTTGTTTCCACTTATTGGCTACTATGAATAAAGGTGCTATAAATATTTCATTACAAGTCTTGTGGTGAACATAAACTTTCATTTTTTCCTGAGCAACTAAGTATAATTGCTGGGTCAGGTGTAAGTTTGCCATTACTAGAAAACTCTTAAAAGGTTTTATAAAATGATTGTACCACTTTACATATCTACTAGTAATACATGACTCTTCTACTTGTTTGACATTCTCATTAGCATTTGGTCCTGTCAATATTTTTAAATTTACCCTTCTTAGTGGGCATGGAGTGATTATGTCCTTGTGGTTTTGCATTTCCCCTATGACTAATGCTGTTTCTTCATCTGCTTATTGGCCATTCAGATATCATCTTTAGTGTCACATCTGTTCAAGCCTGCTGATTTAAAAAATTGGTCCTGAAAACTTGTTTCATAAAACATTGCAAAAATTCTAATAATGTTGGGAATACAGGGGAGGACAAACAAAAGAGATGATTCAAGAGAGATAAATCCTCATGTAGCACAGAACAGAAATTCAGCAGATAGACTTAATTATTTCTTTCTTCTTGCAATTTTGGATTGAACCCAGAGCTTTGTCCTTTGGTTACCACCATATCCTTGAAGCTATGCACATATATTACTTTGGTTAATAAGAAACATAAAACAAAAATAACTTACTGAATCTATGATGACAGAGTCAGGTGTTCTTCCAGTGAAAACAAAATTCAACTGCTTGGCGGCTCTGACCAGTGCTCCCTCATCTGTTTTGGGAACAGATGAAATCAAGTATAGGATGGAAAAACATTATCCCAAATATAAGAGAAATACATTCACATAATCACGTAATATAATTTTCTGTTTAATTAAAATTCTTTCCATTCTGGGACCTGTTATTAAATCTTTTTTAAATTACATGACAATGCTAAGTGAATGGGGAGAACGATCTCTCTCTTTTTCTCTGTCTCTCTCCCCCCACCCCTTGCAGTGCTAGGGATCAAACTCAGGGCCTTGTACATGCTAGGCAAGCACTCTGTCACTGAGCTACATCCCCAGCCCTTTGAGAAGAACACTCTTAAGTCTCAGAGAGACACACAGATCCCAACACTGCATTTCTGAATAGTAAGTCTCACTGTTAGCCATACATACCTAACACTGATAATTTAAATGCACCCCTTTGTCTAACATATTCTCTAGAAAACCTCTCCCCAAATGAATTGCACAAAGTTGTCTCTTCAAGTTCTATCCTTTTCCTCCTAAAAAGTTGAATATAGGAAAGCTACTACTACTAATTCGGGATTTAAGTTAAATTGTTTAAAAGAATGAATGTTTTATTATATATTAATCACTTTCATCACTGTGTTATAAAGCCTTTTCATTGCTGAGGAGGGTGTGGGATAAGAAAATATTCACATAGGTTCTATTCTAATCATATGAAATGTTATTTTTTAAAATCCTTTTTATAAATTTGGTACATTCTACAAGCTACAGGCAGTAGTTTGGCATACAAAGTGTGTTCCTTTCTCCCTAAAAAATTTACAATTATAAAGTTGATTACCCAATTTTATTCTGAAAATAGGTCTAAAATTAAGTTTCGATTTAAAATATTGATAACTACCAATAAATATTTAATGTAATCCCTTTATATGTGTAAAACTCTCCTCATCCAAGTACATAAAAAAAACAAGTGCCCTGTCATTTTCAAAAGAGCAAAATTGATATTGCAGAGCCATATATCACTATTTTTAGGTAAACAGACACTTATTTTCCAGTCTGCTTATGTGCAAAAATGTTTTTATGATTAGTAGTCTTAGATATTTATAAAGAGAAAATGATTATGCATACTAAAAAGTACTTTTATTCACTTATGTGAATTTATTATTCAATTTTCTGTTATTTATATTGTATATCAAAAATTATATATACCAAATTATATATGCTACATATTTTAATGCATAGTTAATCCTGAAAGCCAAAATTTTTCTAAATAGTATTTGAAAATTTTTATCTAAAAACATAATTTGGTTATCTAATTTTTCAAGTTAAACTTGAAAAAAATTTTCAAGTTTCTAAATTTTTATCTACATAATTCCAAATTTCAGAGCAATTTTCCACAGAGAAATGCTTCATGATTGTTTCATTTGTACCTGGAGATGCTGCTTGATAAATAATCTTCTCTCCTTCTCGCTCTGGTACTGCTGTGTGGCAGACTGCCATCATTGTAAGAAATTCACATATGATAGGTGCAGTTGGCTAAGAGAAATAAGCACAGAATTTAGCCCTTTCCATTTAAACATTTTGACAGTAATATTACTTCATGTCCACCAATTAAGAATTTCACTGAGAAACACTGGGGGTGTGAGATTACAGCCAATATCTATTATGAATAAAACCCAACCAAAATTGTTCATTCTTGTACAATCTGATCAGCTTCTAAACATTTATACAAGATAACTTCATTGTCACATTGAAGTAGTATGGTGGAAAACAACAATGAATCCTGTCCTTGAAGGATAGAAGAGAAATTCTAAAATGTTCACTTATCTGGTTGTAAATCCTAATGGGGTTTAAATTTCAGGCATTTACTCTTACTTTGGTTTGGGGTGATGATGACAGGGGATTTCTCTGGAATGCTCTGTCCTCCCTGTCTTTAAAAATGGTAAGCTTAACCTGATTCATGTTTTACTACAAGAAATAAACAAGAAGCTCCTGTGTACAGAGGATTCTTACTGCCTGAGGAAGACTGAAAAATGGGTCCTTTCTGCAAGGAACTCAAAGTTCATAGCAGAAAGAAGGCAGATATTTAAAATTAAACACCTCCCCATCTGGCTTCTGATGAAGAGAAATGTCATTCAAATGAACAGAGAAAAAACATATCTCTATGCTCTTGGGCAAAAAAAAAGTGATTGGAAAGGTAAATCAGAATATTATTTGAAAAACTGTTCAATCTAAAAGAATACACAAAATAGACATGGTCCCAACTATGTGGAGCTTAGACTAGGGGCAAGACAGAACATAAGTTTACACAAGCATTATTTATTTACAGTATGTAACAGTTTGTTATGGATGGATGCTAAAGAGAATGTGCAAATTATCACACGGGTGACTTGGGAGAGTCAGATAGTCTTCTTAAGATAAGGAGCTATTTAGGCAGATGAGGTTTTAGCCTCATGAAGAACTGGGTACAGTGACTTCCAACAGGGAGGAATGGCATGTTACTGAAAAGGTTCTAAAGAAAGAAAGATGAAGTGTGTGAGAAAATAAAAGGCCACTGTGGTCTTAGGGAGAAGAAGGGAAAAGTAGCTCAAAGGGAGGGTGGAGTCCTGGGTGGGTGCCAGATCACAAAACTCTGTGAGTGAAAAGAGCAGCCAGAGAGTGGTCTTGTACAGGAAGTGCTGAGAGTCGATTTCCACTGCATTATTCTGTTTGCCATATCAGTAATAATTACAGAGGAGTGAAAATGCAAACCAGGAGACTGGTTAGGAAGCCGCGGCAGTAATTCTCATAGGGGCTTCTGGTGGTCTGGACAGGCTAATAAGGGAGAGAATAAACTGCAGCAGATACTTAGGATATGTCTTACAACTCAGTACTGATGAGGGATTAGTGACTCAAAGGAGATCTGGACAGGGAGAGAAAAAGAGGTATTAAAAGCAAGCGTTCATTCTTAGAGTAACAAGATAGGTGACGGTGATGGAGTAATTTACTGAAACCCTGTAGTTTAAACTAACTGAATTTGAGTTAAATATCAGTAACTTCGTAAGGAGGATGTACACATTAGGTGGCAGACATCACCAGTTCCTACTGTAGATTTGACACTGGTTTATGGTATTAATAATAGGAAGCAATTCATATCTACAGTCATGTTGAAATTGGTAACAGTAAGTTGGTTTTATATAAATAGAGTTCTATAATTATTTAAAATTAAGCCCTCTGAAAAGCTAGAATACTGATTAATGATAATATTAAAACTGAATTTCCAACTACCATGAATTCATGTTAGTGATGTAAAAAAGGGTTTAGCAATAATGGGTTTTGGTAATTATTAAAATGATCATGAAAGTAAAAACAAGAAATATATAAACATGGACGATAGTTGAGAAAAAAATCAGTAGTTTTTATCCGTTCATGAAAATATAATGGTTTTATGTCACTTACGTGATTATTTTGGAGATTTTCTAACAATGATGAATCACTAAATGTTTTTTCATCTCCAATCTGTGAGCTCTGCCTAAAGGGAAAAAATAAAGCCAATCTGGTTCATTTATCCAAGCCCACCAACATAGTTGTAACTCACTTTTCAAGTAAATCATTATGCCTGCATATCCTTAATGGATTAAATATATCTTGGGCTAAGTTTGTAAAGACATCATGGACATTTCATAGCTATATCATAAAACATATTCAAGCATTCTAAAATATGACAGACATTTGCAGTATAATGAAAAATATTTTACAGTTCATTTTCTTAGAATCCAACGTTATTGTATTACAGCCACATGAAATAAAAAAATTTAAAATATAACAAAACTGCCTTAATATCTGGAACTGAATTTCTTCTATATCCATAATATTTCCAATTCTGTAGAATTCTGAGTATTAATGAAGTTGCTATGCAATATTAATCCTTTTATTTTAGCCATATAATACATCTTTGCTTAATGACAAATACTCCATGGTTATTATATGACATAAAAACAAGAACAATAAACTGTTCATATTTTCTATCAACATCTATCACTGACAAATATCTCAGCAAATTTTTATGATCATATAAAATCTGTACATATAAGGAAAAAATCATAAAGGTACACAGAGCAGCAACCTTCAGATTAGCAAATGTATTATATACTTCATATGAAACAAATAGAATCAGTATTACCTTTATAACCTATCATTAAACTCACAGCCATGCATTTAAGAGACTCAAAGGAAAAACAAGGAATATTTAAATGGAAATGTCTAAACAAGAGATTTGAAATGAAGAGTAAAAATATACATATGAATTTTTATGTACAGGAGAAGCAAATTTCAGAATTCACCAAGGAAAAAATAGTATCTCCAAAAAGAATTATAATCCAGAAAGCTTTTAATCACAATTTTTATAGGTTACATAGCGTTAACAATGCCAGTGTGACAAATAACAAGACTTTCACATGTTAAAGCCAAAAGCTTAAAAGGAAAGAGAAATGACCAAACAGAATTTGAACATATTGTGAAGCACATGATTCCCCAAACCAATAAAGGTAGCATGCTTGTAATAAGATAGCATCTTTATTTACATGTAGTAATTTGGTTCATTAGCTCTTAAAATTATAATTTTATGCATCTTTATTAGAGTGCCTTAGTTTAGAATCGTCAAAGTTACTGATACTATTGGTTTAATTTTAAGAATGGGATCCAAGAACTTTAAAATGACTTTTCAATGGGTAGAAAGAAAAATTACCATTCATTTCTCCTATAAATAAAAATAGTTTAGTACTTGGACCTTTATGAAATTTCCATTACTAAAATATATTCATTAATGGTTCATAGTTATACCTTTCTAATTTATTTGTTAGAGAAACTGAAATGTCAAGGAATATTCACAATCACATCTTTTGGGGTTTCCGTAGTGTAGTGGTTATCACACTTGCCTAACACAATCACATCTTATGTGAGGAAATCTATTTTCCTTCCAAAGAATTCCAGACTAAAAGCCTTTTTAAGTCGAAGATATGTCTTATTAATTTCTTTCCTTCATGAAAAGGACAATTACAGTTGCTGTAATATTTGCACAGATACATTCCATTCTCTTTTCCCCAATGAAGGCACCCACCGCAGATATTGTTGAGTAAGAACCCTTAAAAAAGGAACCCTTTTTCTGTCCCAGAAAGTAGCTTCCTTCCCAATGTCATGAAGAAATAGAAATAACTCATCTTCTCATTTGACAGTTTGGGTTGGACAGCTCAGTCACAGAGTCATCACCATACTCCAAAATCTTACAAAACATTCACTTTTGGTAAAAATAAACAATAAAATCAAAGAGCTCATGTCACTTAAAATCAAGAACTATAATAAAAGTGAAAATAATAGTTGAAACTGTCAGTTGGCATTTTTGTATATAGAAATGCAAACCAACATTAACATTTTGTTTTATTTTTTTCTAGAGATTTCCAAGTGACATTTTGCTCATAAGGAGGTGAAGATCTGATGGTGCCCTGCCATAAGCAGGAAGGCAGGGAATATAACAGGTTATGGTAAGGAGAACAATGACCACATAATCCATGGTTTCACATAAACTGCAGCTTCCTGCAGGCTTTAAAAACTACAGTATACTGTAAATAATTATGTCCTGATCAGATAAAAATGAAGAATTCTCTTCTGCAATGAAAATTAAGAGAAAATTCAGAAAGTATATGGCCTAATCAGTAATACCTGTCTTCATATATGACAACATAAACTATGAAATTTATTTTTGTGTGTGGTCCTGGGGGTTGAGTCCAGGGCCTCGTGCAAAGTAGGCAGGTACTGTACCACGGAACTACTCTCAACCCTAGACTATGAAATTTTAAAAATTCAAGTCAGCATGAGACTCATTAGTAAAAAAGAAAATGGAAGTTTTACTTTAAGCTAAAATGAACTCCAAATGGATTAAATATATAATAAAAGTACTAAAGTTACAGAAAAATTTAAAAAAGGGGATGGGGGAGAGCAGTGGGGAGGGGAGTTCAAGTATGATGTTTTTGATACATTGTAAGAACCTTTGTAAATGCTGCAATGTACCCACACCCAGCACAATAAAAAAGCAAAACAACAACAAAACCCCACAAGAGTGGGATACACCTAGGTTTCACATGCAGTTCAGACAACAAAACAAATGAATCTGACTGGTAAATATTTTTTTCATGGCAAAAGCTACTATAAGCAAAATAAAAATCCAAATGACAAACTGGGAAAAATATTTCCAACTTATACAATGAAGGTGAATTTCTGTGAAATAAAAAGAACTCATAGAATGAAAAAAAAAAGATTTCAACACATAGAACAATGAGCAAAAGGCTATGAACACGTAAGTCACAGAGAAGGAAATATAAGTGACTTTAAATATTCAACCTTACCTCATAATAACAGAAATGATATTTAAATTTATTAATCTGGCAAAAATAAAGCTTGACAACTTGTACTGTTGTGATTGTGGAGAAACAAAGTATAACTCGTAGGAACAGAAATCGGTATATACAACTTCTAAAAAGAGCAACTGAGTAAAACAAATTAAAATCCTTTGATCCAGTAATCCCAGTCTAGGCAATAACTATACTTACAAGTTACCTGGTGCAAACCCATAAGATCGATCAGGGATGTTGCTTAAAAAATTGTGGTAGGGCTGGCAGAGTGGCTCAAGGCAAAAAGCCTGTCTAGCAAGCATGAGGCCCTGAGTTCAAACTCTAGTACTGTCAAAACAGAACAATAAAATTGTGGTCCATCCACAATTAGAATACCACACAAAAAAGGGCAGCCCTTTGTGGAATATGGAAGTCTCACTGACAAATGAAAAGCTGGTACAAAACAGTGTTACAGTATGTGCTGTTTCATTTTCTGTAAAAATAAGAAAAAAACATATGTATATTTTAGAACAGATCTGGAAGGATACACCTGAAATTGGTCACACTGGCTATTTTTACAAGTGGAAATTGAGGGCTCTAAGAGGAGGAGGGAAAAAATTTCCATTTTTTTACACTCTTTGAATTTGCAACATGTTACTGTGTTATGATCTCAAAAATAAAATTTAAATTAAAAACAACAAATCTATGTCAGCCATCCAGACTGTGTGCATACCCTACATATAAGCTAAATGTCCACATTATGCACGAATGCACATCAGACACATGAACATAAAAGACAAAGACAGTGTGACTGTACAGAACTATTTTTTTAAAAACAAAATTCACCACGCTAATGAGCAGAGTAAGGACAGCAGCCCGGACCCACTGCTGACTGAACACATGCATGCATGCTTTATCAAGCAAGCAGAATGACAAACTTGAAATTCTTTAACATTTCAAATGTCCTGAGTAGAGAGAACTGTTTAAGCACAAAAAATGTGTGTGTGTGTGTGTGTGTGTGTGTGTGTGTGTGTGTGTATTAGGAACTAGCAGTCTGCACTCACTGATGTACAGATAAAAATACACAACTTGCAATACAGGTCTAAATATCTTCATTTAAAAACATTACAATTTGATAGGTAAGTTTTAAGTTGACAAAAATTTAAGTTCTGAGTTTTCATATGTGCCTTTAACTTGTTTTAAACATGTTTACAACATGGACAGAGAATAAGGGATCATCAAGCCCATTTTCTATTGTGAAATGCTGAAAAATCTGTACATAAGCACAACTTGACAGAGGCAAAGGTTCTACAAATCATTTTCTTGACTTAACTGAGTATCAGGGAGAAGAGATAGCATTTTGTTAGCACTAAGCCATGTCAATGGGGCCATGTGAGTCTACTTTTGTATCTACCCACTATAGGGATACACCTGAGTTGGGCCCTGTATTGGCTAGACTGGCTGTAAGACAGGTGTGTGCAGTGCCCTAGATAAGACTGGGAGGCACCTGTGGTGTCCTCACTTAGTTCTCCAATCTCACCATGGAGCATAGAATCAACAACTTTAAGGAGCATGACACCATAAAGATTCATGCTGCAGGGCTACTCAAGCCAAGGTGTGCAATGATGGGAAGGATTGAAGGATGGGCAGCCTTCTAGTCAGCCCTCTGGGAAGAGGCCTGAGGTGGTCCAGTCATTTCAGGACCTCTGCTTCACTTCCAATATCGGTTGCATCCAGGGTGCTCCTGTTCATGAGCCCATAGCCATAGCCATAGCCTGTTCCTATGAACAAATGCTCCTGTTGATCTCTGTGGTAATAGTTCTTTTTTGTGTATTTTCAGAATTATGTGTTGCTCAGCGTGTGGCTTCATGAACAGTATGAGGTCTGGCTCTGAGACTTGTGTGGCTTTGGGGTGGGACTTTCAGTTCTTTTTTTTTTTTCTTTTATTCATATGTGCATACAATGTTTGGGTCATTTCTCCCCCTTTCCCCTGGCCCCCTCCCTTTCCCACTGCTCCCTCCCTCTCCCTCCCTATCCCCTTGCTTCCAAGCAGAAACTATTTTGTCCTTGTCTCTAATTATGTTGAAGAGAGAGTATAAACAATAATAAGAAGGACCAAGGGTTTTTGCTAGTTGTGATAAGGATA